AGGCGACACGAAGATGTGATTTGCTATACACACATACTTCAATTCTTAAAACCTAGGCAACCCAATATACACATATGCACTATGTGTACTATGACTACTCGATTGTTACGCATAAATATTTAGCGTAGTCGCTCGTAGACGAGACGTTTTGCGTGGAAATCTCTGTCGCTGTATGCGTTTTAATTCCGCGAGTCGAATTCGCCGCCGACGCACACGGCGCTCGCGAGAGTGTAGTTAATGCATACGGAATTGTTCTGCGAATGAGGAAAGTTGTTTGCTACAAATTGAGTTATAAATTAATTATCAGGCTCTGCCGCGCGACGGCGCTGCGCGCGTTCTCTTATATCCCGAACCTTCGTTACAAGATTCATCCTTTATCATCCTTAATGTTGGATGGCATGAACTAGGACTAGACGCGCGCTCGAATAAAAACAAATGAACAAATCATAAATATAAACATCTAGAGTTGTGTTGTATGTAGTTACTACGTACGAGTGTGGAAAAAATTAATATATTTTAGTTGAGTGTCTGCGCAATCAATTAGAGCGACGTGTCGAGTATGTCGAGTGGTGCTTCCCGGATGCAGCGCGTCGAATGGCGACGTGTGTTGATCGATTGTTTTCGATAGGTTTTTTCCGGGTTCACAATCGTCACAATCTAATAAAATATATTAAGAGGAGGGATTTGGAAATATTGCAGCGTCACCCAAAAAATGTTTTTTTGAGTTTTATTCCTAAAATAAAGCAAATATTTAAAAATAATTATTTGTAAACTATGAGGAATTAATTGTACTTTAATATAGTATTTTTACCAATGTCGTACACTCAGTACTTTTCTAGATATTTCATTTTTAACAAATTTATTTTGTACTATCTAAATAATAAAGTTGCTTCCGTACGCGTCTGTAGTCACAGAAGAAGTAACAATGAAGTAGAATGGCGGGAAGTTTAAAATGGCTGAAAGTATAGTCTACGGAAGTATAGTGTACAGTCTCCATAGTGTAGTCAATTGGATTTGATGTTGACGTAGCTGTCGGTAATACAGTGTGATAATACAGTGTGATGGTACTATAGTACTTAGGTTTGAGCTTCATTGCTGGAATGCTAGATGGCGTTAAAGTAGTCAAATAGCCAGATGCAGAGGTATTATTGGCTAAACAATTTCTTTATTTTATTTAATAAATAATTTTTTTATTAAATAAAAAGTAGCCTATAACCATTCGGGGTCCACTAAGAATATGTGTACAAATTTTCATGATGATCGGTTAAGTAGTTTTTGCGTGAAAGTGTAACAAACATCAGGACTTTCGCATTTATAATAATAGTAGGGATATTGGGTTGCCTAGGTTTTAAGAATTGAAACACTTTTCCCTTCCGAGTGTCAAAAATCGTGGTTTAAAAAAAAAGTGGTGTTTTAAACGTTTCTGCTATATAGGCCACCAAACACACATCAAAATTTACTCTTACATTTATTAATTTTACAGTTTAATAAATTAACAACACAAAATGGCCGTTGATGTATTTTCCATCTTCCCGCTGCCATTTCTTAAAGTTATCCTGATGTGCACCTCGTTAGGCCGTTATCACCGCCTCCTAGACCCGGGACGTCCCCTGGCCGCGCGTAAAAGTAAAACCATACCGATATTAATTGCCATTAAAACTAGGTGAATTCGCATCCGTCCGTATAACTCGGACCGTAAACCGAACGCGTAATTTAGATCTAGTGCATTCGGTGTTTTACGACTGGGTGACATACACACACACACATCCACATGGTAACTCCAGTGATGTCTTTCCGTCTCCGCCGCCATTCCGATGCGGATGATAACATCGTCTGCGCGAAAGCCGCCAAAGGTCGTTTCGCGTTCGTGTCGATGCATCATCGCACCCATCGCGCCCCGCAAAAAGGTCGCCGGGTGCGCGCACACGGTCGGTATCTAAATAGTGAGCGTAACGACGCCGTAAAAATTGACGACGTTCGACATCTAAAAGAAATGGAAAAGCGCGCGCGCCGACAAAGGTGATGCCGGGCGAAAGCCGGCGCTCGAGAAAATGTACATATTTTCAATCATATTTACATAAATTCTGCACTTGCACGACGATGGCGAAGTTAACGTCGTTGAGTTTAAGTCGTCCCGCCATTTGCAAACACATCGAATGTCATCAGTTGATCACAACATCAATATACACATAACCCAGTTGTACATCTAAAAAATTGAAACATTTCAACAATCAACGAGTACAAACACTCAAATGATGATAATAAACTTAAAAAGTAGAATATTATTGATAATAATCAATTAATTCTATAAATAAACCCACTTGAACCTTTTATCTTATGTGAAACACATGTTAAAATAAAGATTTAGGTTTAATATAGGCAACCAGCGTTACAAAGCATGTAGGTTGGGTAGTATAGCATGCCGAACACTCAGTTTGCACGCCAAGTAATTTTATCGTTATATTAAAATCAAAGAGGATTAATTCGGCTGCATTCCGCGATTAATCCGTTCGGAAAGGCGAAACCAACAAAGGGACGTGGCTATAATTGAATGCGCCGCCGAATCTTGGGCGGCCAAAGAAGCGCTGCGAGAACAAAGGGGCCAAAGGAGTCCTGTGTCTAAAGTCTTCTCATTAATTTACTCAAAACGTTGCCGCCGGCATTTCAATAACTCTGTTAATGTACGCGCGCGCGGAAGGAGCGCGCCGCAACCGCTGCCGCCGCCTGCCGCCACCGCGCCACTCAGCTTCAGCCACCTTCGGGCTTTCCGTCTTTCGCCGCTCAAGAATTCAATAGACGTTCGACACATGCCCATGACACGCGCGTCAATTCTGCTTAATTACTTTTTAATCTCTAACAAAACAATTTACACACTATTTGCGTCCATTCAACTAAAACAAATTAATATTTATTTTATTTTATGGCTTTTAAAGTGTTAAAGGTGCGTAGAATGTAAAATGAAATGAATATCATTACTTTTATTGGTCACATAAATGTTGATATAGGCAACCAACATTACATTTATCGGTAGTGTCGGTTGCGTTTGGTAATTTTTCAATTTCGATAATGCAACTCTCTCTCACCGCACATAATTTATTATACGAGTTTAAATAAACTTAAGTGAAATAGAACACGCCCGACTCGGATCGATGTGCTCGCAGTCATCGGAAAAATATGAGCGTCGATAATAATAAATTTCGCACGACCTATGAATGCCTCCGACTGCATCGCTGTATATTTATTCGAGACGAGTGAGAAAATGGCGCGGAGGGTTGAGCGGGATAATGCCTCCCGAGTGACATTTGCTCGAAATGTTAAAACTCGGCCCCTGCTACGTGATCCGGAAAGGCCGCCGCGCGACGCGCACTTACTTTTGTTTGTTTATTATTCTTGATTCATTAGGTTTGATTTATGAGAATGTCAACGCTCATACGCGCGTCCATTTATCCCGCCCCGGCCGGCTTAGCCAAACTAATATTAAATTTAAACATTATACAAACATTATGCAAACAAATTTCGTATTCGCGACGCGCCGCCAAACGAGACGGCATGGCATCCATCTTGTGTGCTCAAATTAAACTTTTTCGACATTATTTATCTGCACACTTTTTAATTACTCTGTTTTTGGCGGTAATTATTAATTACTACATCGTTGCTTACAATATGAAGTTGTAAATTAGAGAAATAATTAATTTACATAGCAAATAAAATATTTTCTGAAAGAAGTTGGGAGCGAATGTAGAGTTTTACTATAGGCAACCAAAAACACGCGTAAAAAATACTTTTCTTGTACTACTCTCAAAATAAATGTTAAAAGTTGTTGTATTTTATCAAAAATTTAACACAATATTTAATAAAATATCAGAAAATGTTTGTCATATCTAATTTTATTATATTAAAGCGTTTTCTTTGAGTTATTTGTGTAATACAACAGTTTTTGTTAAAGAAACTGATACCTGATGTAGAGTTTTAATGTAGGCAACCAAAAACACGCGTAAAATCAACTTTTTTCCTATAACTCTCAAAATTAATGTTAAAATTTGTTGTATTTTATCAAAGATTTAACACAATATTTAATAAAATGTAAGAAAATATTTCTCATATCTAATTTTATTATATTAAAGCGTTTTCTTTGAGTTATTTGCGTAATATAACAGTTTTTGTTAAAGAAACTGAAACCTGATGTAGAGTTTTACTATAGGCAACCAAAAACACGCGTAAAATATACTTTTCTGCTACAACTCTCAAAATAAATGTTAAAATTTGTTGTATTTTATCAAAGATATAACAAAATATTTAATAAATTATCAGAAAATGTTTGTCATATCAAATTCTACTGTATTAAAGCGCTTTCTTTGAGTTATATGTCTAATATAACAGTTTTTGTTAAAGAAAGTGTAACCAGATGTTGAGCTTTAATGTAGGCAACCAAAAACACGCGTAAAAAATACTTTTCTGCTACAACTCTCAAAATAAATGTTAAAATTGGTTGCATTAACAAATATTCAACAAAATATTTAAAAAAATATCAAAAAATGTTTAGCATATTTAATTCTATTATATTAAATTGTTTTCTTTGAGTTATAAGTCTAATATAACAGTTTTTGTTAAAGAAAGTGTAACTCAATGTAGACTTTTAATGTAGGCAACCAAAAACACAGCAAAACACCTTTTTCATCTAAAACTAACAAAATAAATGTAAAAATGAATTTATATTTAGAAATATCTTCACAAAACACTCAATAAACCATGAGGAAATGTACCTCACGTATCGAATACACCCAATTACCTTATCAAACATTACAAAACTCGACTCACTTTACCAATCAAAGTTAAATAAACAAAAACCTGACTTTAATCTCCACTTTTATCATAATTATGTCAAACACACGTGTATGTTACATTTATATAAAGGATGTAGGTGATTACAATGACTTAGCGGGAATTTTTATATTTTTATTCATATCCCGATAAGATTTTGAAGTGTTTTTACATGTATATAAACAAAAACTAACAGTAGTTGGATTAGTCGCCATGATGAAAACAATCATCGTATTAGCCTGCCTGGCAGCGTTGGCCACGGCCAACTTTAGCAACCACAAGGTCTACCGTGTGAATCCTTCCAATAAAGAACAGCTTGATGTAGTCAGGGCGTTTGAAGGCATCAAAGGCGTCGACTTCTGGTCGAAGGCCCGCGCTGTCAACAAGGAAATGGACATTATGGTCTCCCCTCAGATTCAAATGAGGTTTACTGACACCTTGAAGCAAAATTCAATCGCCCACAATGTTTTGATCAATGATGTAGAGACGTAAGTGGAAGCCATTTTGTTTTTATTGAGTTTTATTGTATTTTAATGTGTTTCCAGGGTTGTCCAACGTGAAAAGATGGAGAAAATGATGTCCCCGCGTGTGGAAGCTGGGAAAATCAACTTTGAGCAGTACCACACCTACGACACCATTGTTGAGTACCTAATTCAATTAGAATCAGACCATAGTGATATCGTCGAGGTCAGAAGCATTGGTGGAACTTATGAAGACCGTGAAATGGTTATGATTAAGATCTCCACTGGAGGATCAAACAAACCCGCTATTCTTATTGATGCAGGAATCCACGCTCGTGAATGGATCGCACCCGCAACTGCCTTATACTTCATCCATGAACTGGTTGAGAACAAGGACAATCGTCATATGATCGAAAACGTTGACTGGTACATCATCCCAGTGTTGAACCCTGATGGTTATGAATACACCCACTCCTCTACTTCCAACCGCTTCTGGCGTAAGACCACCACCAAGGGTCAACGTTGTGATGGTGTTGACGCCAATCGTAACTTTGACTTCCACTGGATGGAAATTGGTGCCAGTGATTATGAATGTGATGAGACCTATGCAGGTCCCGAAGGTTTCTCCGAATCTGAGACCCGTAACCTCAAGAATCTTGTTGAGTCCCTGGGATCCCAAACCAAATTGTATTTGACTTTCCATAGTTATGGTCAGTATCTCTTATACCCATGGGGTTACACCTCTGCTCTTCCTGAAGATGTGCAGACTTTGGATGACTTGGCCCATGATGTTGCTGATGCTATCTATGCTGTTGACCGTACTGATTATACCATTGGTTCTTCTACTAATGTTTTGTATGCTGCTGCTGGGGGTAGTGATGATTGGGTTAAGGCTGTAGGTGGCGTTGCTCTTTCCTACACTATTGAATTGCCTGGAGGTGGATGGAATGGTTTTGATCCACCAGCGAGTGCCATCAAGGGTGTGGCTACTGAAACCTTCGAGGGTCTTAAGGTGTATCACGCTTATGTTGAAAAGAACTTTTAGGTTTTAAGTTAAAACATGAAAAGACAATAATAAAAAGTATTTATAAGATAACCAGTGTTTTATTCTGTATATATTATGTGTATACTTGGTTGCATACAATAAACCTGTTGAATTTATAGCATTAGATTTATTTTAAACAGATTTTACAAAGTAAATCACCTAAAATGTATGTTTAAACACTCAAGTGATTATTAATTGATGCTGTTATCAATCATGACACTAATTTTTAATGCCTGAGTACTTAAAAGTACTTGAATGGCTTAAAATTAGTAAAAACTTTTGAACTTTTATTAGAACGCGATAATCTGTTCAGATAACACGTGATTCAAGTACTTTTGAATGGATCTATATAAAGGGCAATCAATTTCATTTCAAATCAGTCATCAACATGAAGACTATCATCCTGTTTGCGTGCCTAGCTGCGTTGGCTACGGCCAACTTCACCAAGTAATAATATTTCAATTGATTTTCTCGTTTTTTGTGTTTCTGTGCCTGTAATTTCTTAATTTTTGTTAATCTGCAGCTACAAGGTGTACCGGGTCACTCCATCCAATGCCCACCAATTAAACTTGGTCAAAGGCTTGGAAAGCATGAAAGGTTTCGACTTCTGGTCAAAAGCCCGTCAGGTCAACTCAGACATTGACATCATGGTCTCCCCGAAAGTGGAAGGTCAATTTACTTACATCCTAAAACACAACTCCATCGACTACAGCCTTCTGATCCAAAACGTCGAATCGTAAGTGTCCGCCATCTTGTTTTCACTCTGTCAACATTCTATATCTTATCTATATCAATTTCAAGTGTTGTCCAACGTGAACAATTGACAAAACTGATGTCTCCCGCCGTCCCAAAAGGAAAAATCAACTTTGAGCAGTACCACAGCTACGAAACCATTGTTGATTACCTACTTCAATTAGAATCAGACCATCGTGATATCGTCGAGGTCCGCAGCATTGGTGGAACTTATGAAGACCGTGAAATGGTTATGATTAAGATCTCCACTGGAGGATCAAACAAACCCGCTATCCTTATTGATGCAACCATCCATGCACGTGAATGGATCGCACCTGCAACTGTCTTATACTTCATCCATGAACTGGTTGAGAACGAGGACAATCGTCATATGATCGAAAACGTTGACTGGTACATCATCCCAGTGTTGAACCCTGATGGTTATGAATTCACTCACTCCTCTACTTCCAACCGCTTCTGGCGTAAGACCACCACCAAGGGTGAAATTTGTGATGGAGTTGACGCCAACCGTAACTTTGACTTCCACTGGATGGAAACCGGTGCCAGTAGCAATGAATGCTCTGAAACCTATGCTGGTCCCGAAGGTTTCTCTGAATCTGAGACCCGTAACCTCAAAAAACTTGTTGAGTCCCTGGGATCCCAAACTAAGTTGTATTTGACTTTCCATAGTTATGGTCAGTATCTATTGTACCCATGGGGTTACACTTCTGATCTTCCTGAAGATTGGAAGACTTTGGATGACTTGGCCCATGATGTTGCTGATGCTATCTATGCTGTTGACCGTACTGATTACACCATTGGTTCTTCTACTAATGTTTTGTACGCTGCTGCTGGTGGTAGTGATGATTGGGTTAAGGCTGTAGGTGGAGTTGCTCTTTCATACACTATTGAATTACCTGGAGGTGGATCATGGGGTTTTGATCCTCCAGCGAGTGCCATCAAAGGTGTGGCTACTGAAACCTTCGAAGGTCTTAAGGTTTATCATGCTTACGTTGAAAAGAATTTCTAAATTTTTATTCTAAATTTGTAAATTTGGTAAAATAAATTAAAATGTTGCAAATATTTAACGACCACTTTCATAGTATTAAAACCTATTAATATTAAAAATATGCCATGTTTATCTATGCGTACATTATTTATGAATTCCATATAGATAAGGGAATAGTTATATTTGAATGTTTATAACCATGCAAAGCTGTTGGTGATTCATTTACCAACATGAAGGCAATTATCTTGATTGCATGTTTTGCTGCGTTGGTAACCACTAAATACACCAAGTAAGTAGAGAAAAACTAAAGAAAAACTAATGGTAACCAATTTAATTTATTCTTAAATTTGATTTTTGTGTAGTTATAAAGTCTATCGAGTGATTCCATACAACGTATTTCAACGGAGTCATGTTTTTGGGTTAGAAGGAATCAATGGCATTGAGTTCTGGCCACAGAAGAATAATTACGAAATTGACATCGAAGTATCTCCTCAATTAAATGACGAATTCATATCTTATTTAACTGAACGACAGGTTCCTTATAGTATTCTCATAGATGACCTTCAAACGTAAGTAAAAACATCAAATTTAGACGCCATCTTGTTTAAAATAAACCTCCTTTAAAATTTTCAGGTTCCTTGACCTTGAAAACCCCAACAAACCTTCTAATTGCACCAAAAAACATAAATTTAACTTTTATCGGTACAATTCCTACAAGGATATTGTCAAGTACCTCCATCACCTTCAAAAGAAGTACCCCAACATAACCAACGTAACCACAATTGGTCCCTCATATGAAAAACGTAATGTAACCATGATAAAAATCTCCTCTGGAGGTTCCAACAAGCCTACAATTCTGATTGATGGAGGAATCCATGCTCGTGAATGGGTTGCGCCTGCATCTGTTGTCTACTTCATCCATCAACTGGTTGAGAATCAAACCAATCACTATATGTTTGAAAACATTGACTGGTACATCATCCCAATGGTCAACCCAGATGGTTATGAGTTTTCACGCGCGAGTTTAAACAATGTTTATTGGCGCAAAACAAGAAGCAGGAGTAATTCAACTGATTGTATTGGTGTTGATGCCAATCGTAACTTTGATGTGCATTGGATGGAATCTGGGTCCAGTGATGATCCCTGTAAGATAACCTATGCAGGTCCTGAACCTTTCTCTGAAGTGGAAACTCGTAATCTAAAAGGTGTTGTGGAGTCTCTGGGGAATTGTACCAAGTTGTATTTGACGTTCCATGCCTTTGGTCCATTGATTTTGTATCCATGGGGTTACAATACTGATTTGCCCAACGATTGGGCGACGTTGGATAAGTTGGGAAGAGATGTTTCTAAGGCTATATATTCTGTTAAGGGGACTAATTTTACTGTGGGTACTTCGGCAAGAAAAACGTACCCCGCTGCTGGTGGTAGTGATGATTGGATCAAGGCTGTTGGTGGTGTGAATCTTTCTTATACTATTGAATTACCTCCAGGCGGGTCCAGAGGGTTTAATCCCCTTACGAGTAATATTAGGGGTATTGCTGAGGAAGCCTTTGAAGGTGTCAGGGTTTATCATGCTTATGTTGAGAAGAATTTTGAAGGAAACTGTACCAGAAGGATTTAAATGCAGAAAATAAATTTTATTTTTGATGGATGTGAATAAATATTCATTTGGGATTGTCTAGACAAAGTGTTGCAATGTTAAAATGGTCAAGAGATATCAATACAAAGTTTTTGTTTTGTATACCACCTTGGGATTATCATGTTTTTGTTAGTTCATCACTGGTATTGAGTTTGTGGTAACATATTTTTCGTTGAAGGAATATTTTTAGTTGAAAAGTGCATTTTAGCTCCATCTACTTAGGATTTGGTGTACTTTTACGCCTTGCTTACCGGTGCACGACCGGCTCCAACACTTCTTCCACGTCGCGAATTTTGAATCGGCAGCGCTATAACCTAAACATGAGATCTTAAACAATAATTTTCATAGTTTCCTATGAAAAACTATAATAAACAGCCTCAAAATGAACCAGCAACGAGGAAAACCAAAAAATGTTTGGTCTAATCCACCCAACCAGCCTAAAATCAACGCCAAAAAGAACGAGGAAAAGTTTAAACAAGCTCAGGAAAAACTCAAGGAAGCTGTGAAGAAATATGCCAATGACTGTGAATCTTCTGAAGAAGAAGACAATCTTGAAAAAGACAATATTATAAGTAAGTTTACAATAACTTCTATTAAATAAATATACTAATAATTTTCTTTTAAAATTGTAGTTAATGTACTGCAACAATATACGAAAGCTGGAGTTAATGCAGACATTGGTAGGACACAGAATTTTCTACAAGATGCATTCCAATCAGGCACATGTACATGCCTCATTTGTATATCTTCAATTAAAAGAAATGAATCTGTAAGATATTTCACTTTAACCTTAATTAAACAACTAAACACAACAAAATCATTGTTTTTTGCAACAGATTTGGACATGCAATGAATGCTATTGTTTCTTTCACCTAATGTGTATTCAAAGATGGTCTAAAGATACCATAACTCAACAGAAGCAAGCATTTGAAGCACAAGTGCAAACCAGGAGAATCACAATGAAGTGGGGCTGTCCCAAGTGCCGAACTGAATACAGCCCAGAAGACATTCCTAAGGAATACTTTTGTTTCTGTAAAAAGAAGATTAATCCTGGTTTTGAAGCATTAATTGTGCCACACAGTTGTGGGGACACTTGTGGCAGAGAATTGAAACCTAATTGTGGACATAAATGTCTTTTGCTGTGTCATCCAGGTCCATGTCCACCATGCCCACAAACTGTGAGAGTTTCATGTTATTGTGGAGCAGCTCCTGTTAAACCACAAAGGTGTACGCAAAAGGAATGGAGCTGCAGAGCTCAATGTAATAAAATATTGACTTGTGGTAAGCATAAATGTTCAGAGGTATGTCATGCTGGTGAGTGTCAACCATGCACAAAGAAAAGTATGCAGAAATGTGTTTGTGGGGATGGATTTAAGCTAAGGGATTGTACTACTCCAATTTGGCAATGTGAAAAAGTAAGTTGAAGTATAATTATATAATAGCAGCCATTTTGTGTTATTTTGGTTGCCTAACTATAATTTCCTCATTTTTTGTTTTAAAAAGATTTGTAACAAGAAATTTTCTTGTGGATATCACAACTGCGATGAACGATGCCATCCAGGTGAATGTGGAATTTGCCCTAGGTCGAAAATAAGAACTTGTTCTTGTGGTAAAAGTGTACATGAATTACCATGCACTGAAGATGTACCAACATGTGGCGATACATGCGGTAAAACTTTAGATTGCGGCATGCACGTTTGCAACTTGCGTTGTCACAAGGGAAAATGTCAAACTGTAAGTTATTACATTACAACAAAAAATATTAATATGTATTTATTTAAATTATTTTAAATTTAGTGCTTGGAAACAGTTTCAAAGTCATGTAGATGTGGGCAACACATGAAAGAGATCCAATGTGGAAAACCGTACTTTTGTGAAAGTAAATGCAAGCAGCTAAAGGATTGTAACAAACATCCTTGCAACAGAAAGGTTTGTTTTTTTTTTTTATTAATTTTTATGCAACTTCTAATACTTAAAATGTCTGTAATGTTTAGTGTTGTGATGGAAATTGTCCGCCATGCGAAAAACCATGCGGGAAGACTTTAAGTTGTAAAAAACACAGTTGCTCATCGATTTGTCATCAAGGACCTTGTTACCCATGCAATTTAACAGAAAAAGTTGCATGTTTTTGCGGTGGTACAGTTATAACTGTATCCTGCGGGCGAAAAACTCGAACAAAACCACCGAAATGTGGAATTAACTGCAAGTAAGTAAAATATTTAACATTTTTACAAATTATTAATAAAATATAAATGAAAACATACATTTTCTACATTAGAATTCCTCCTGATTGTCATCACAAAGCACGTGAACTACACAAATGTCATTTTGGTGATTGTCCGCCATGTAAACAAATCTGCGACAAGAAACATCAGAAATGCGGCCATCTTTGTCAAGCAAAATGTCATTCATCAGTTTTGGTAAAACTCCAACAACCGAAAGCAGCTACCCCTTGGGAAGAACGCGGACCTGAAGTAGAAAAACGTTGTTTACCTTGCCCGCAATGTCCTGTTTTGGTTCCGATAACTTGTTTTGGTAAACATGAAACATGCGATTATCCTTGTTACGATGCACGCCCCGCGAGTTGTCATCGTGCGTGTGGTAGGCAACTTAAATGCACGAATCACACATGTGCTTTTGAATGTCACACGGTAGAAGGTGCCAGTGATGATATTGCAGCTGGTGATAATTGTGAAGTATGCGAACATGGATGTGAGAAACCAAGAGTTGATGGGTGTACTCATAAATGTGCACGAATCAATTGTCATACCGGTAATTGTCCGCCATGTAAGAGTATGGTGAAGATTTCTTGTTTCTGTGGGCAGGATCAACTTTATGTTGTGTGCAACGTGTGGACTACAACTGGAGATAAGGAAGGTTTGCAGAGTTGTGGGAATCAGTGTCCGTTAAATGTAAGTTTGTATATTTCCGACGCCATTTTTATTTTGTGTTATTGAAATGTTTTTTTTTATTAATTAGTTTGCTTGTGGTCATCGTTGCCGGTCAAATTGTCATTCCGGTGAATGTCCTAACCCTGATCAATGCAAGAAAAAGGTAAAAGTATTCTGTGCGTGTAAACGCATGAAAAAAGAATTTCCATGTGACGTTGTGCGTAATGGCGGCATAGAAGTACCATGTGATGACACATGCAAACGAAAACAACAAGAGGAAGAAGATATGAAACGCGCTGCTGATTTAGAAAAGCAAAAACAGCAAGAGGAGCAAAACAAGCGTGAACTTGAAAAGTTTGAGAAGATGTTCGCCAAGAAGAAGAATCGTGACAGAGCAAAAGTAACCAAAGAAGTGGTCGAAACAAACAACACCAAAAAATACATCATTATTGCAATTTGTGCAGTTTTCATTGCTGTGTTTGCATATTTTGTATTGCAAACTAAATAATATCTATAATAAACCACAAATTTGGTTATTATAGACAGAATTTTATATATTTTATGTTATTTTTGAGGTTTATGTATAAATGGTTGCCTATATTGACTCCCTGCTATTACAAACGCAGTGATTTATTTGTTTTTACTGCGTACAAATGAGAAACTAGTAGAAATATTTTTAGAAACACCACGCTATGATTTCCAATCGTCAATTACCGCTTGGCACGCGATGCGCGCGATAGAAATACAACAAAAAACTTAGCGAATTCACCGAAGCGTTGCGTTATTGCGGTGGAAATGAATGAATTCCAGCGGGAGTTGCGCTTGCGTCCTGCCGCCGCGCACAGGATCAGTCGAGGCATTGAGGGCAAGGCGTCGCGGTGCCAGCCTGCGTCGAACCACATCCAACATGTACTTGTAAGTTTAATTTCACAATCATTTCATTTCCAATAATAAACAACGCAAAAAACAAAAATTGTGAATAAAAAACAAAATGGCGGAGATTAAAACTAAAAGTCATGTTTAATTCATGTTTTTGTGTATAAAATAAGAGTTATTTCATGTTCAGTGGCGGTGCGGAGCGCAGATTGCCAATAAATGTGTAATCGATGGCCCGTTGGCGTTAAGCACCGCTTTTCCTGCGGTATTTTTGACCGTCCTGACCCGAAAATGCCACCAAAGGTGAATCGCGTAAATATCACTAAACTGTTGCGTCGAAAACTTCAAATTTACGCGTAATAAATGTTTTGCATCGAAATGTGGGAGTGTTTTGTGCAGTGCGGAGATGCTGCGAACATTTTCAAGCGTATCGATCGCACGCACTGCGCGCAAGATGCTGTTCCTGCTGTAACCTTGCTCGTCTTGTGTATACAACCAGATAAACATCATATAAAACATGTTTAGTGTTTAAAAAACATAAAAACTTAAAAATTTACTGTCGGCCATTTTGAAATAACACAAAAATATTGTTTTAGATCACCAGCAATACAAATCAACGTAAATTACTACTAAATCATCTTTAAATATCAAAATAAACATGGCGATTGATATCCTGGATGTTGATCACTTCGCCATCAGTGCGATTGTGACGGTGGCGATGCAGATCATCTTCTTCAGCATCTCCGCGGCTTTCCAGACGGATAAAGTTTCGGATTTTGCTGGAGGAATCAATTTCAGTATTCTAGCATTACTCACATTCTTTTTGGGACAACTTGGAAAGGTAATGATTCATAAAAACTTGTTTTTAAGGTTTTTTTATGGTAAAATGTTTGTTTTTTAGACTGACAAAACACAGAAAGGTTATGATAGCCGGCAATTAATGGTAACCGTGTTTGTATGTCTCTGGGGAGCTCGATTATCCGGATATCTGCTTTATCGGATATTAAAAATCGGTCGAGATAAACAATTCGAAGATAAACGCAGCAATACAATTCGTTTTGCGATATTTTGGACGTTTCAGGTAAGAAATTGTATTAAAACTAATAAGCAGCCATTTTTTTTTGTAAATTTAAGTGTTTAACCTCATTTTATTTCTATTTAGGCTGTTTGGGTTTATGTTGTGAGTCTTCCAGTGATTATAATAAACTCGCCAAGACATTCAATTCCTAAAGTAGCAAAAACAATGACAACTTTAGACTCAGCTGGCACTGGCATGTTTTTCGTCGGTTTGCTAGCTGAAACCTACGCTGATTTACAAAAGTTTTCCTTCCGGCAAGATCCAATCAATCGTGGCAAGTGGTGTAACGATGGACTATGGAGAATGTCACGCCATCCAAATTATTTCGGTGAAATTGTCGTCTGGTGGGGCATTTTTGTCATATCATTAAATGTGATTGATGGCTTTGAATGGATCGCCATTGCGTCGCCATTGTTTACAACGTTTATAATTCTATTTCTATCTGGGATGCCAGTATTAGAAAGATCATCAGATGATAAATTCGGAGAGTAAGTAACTTTTTATTAAATTTTGTTTTATTTTTGTGTGATGTATTATAACTGACGCCATCTTGTGTTGTATGTTGGGTAGCATATCAGAATATCGATACTACAAGCAATCAACATCGCCACTAATCCCGATTCCGCCAGCAATTTACGTCGAAGTACCACGATTCTTGAAGTTTATCATTTGTTGTGAATATCCACTGTATGATACAGTGGAAGCTCGCATGAAGGCATCGCATATTGTTAAAGAATCCACCTGCGGGTCGTTGGCGCAGTCGCAGACATAGCTATAGCTGTACGCTAGCCGTGAGGCTAGCGGTTCTCGGATCAACGTGAAAGGCCAGCAGGGCCAGCAGGCGAGTAATCAAGGACAGTCAAGTACATGTGTTCAACAAGCTCCATCATCTGGATCGAATACTTGTCAAATTACAGCGCTGTGAGCTATGAAAACAGCCCACAAACGAAAAACAATTGCATACATGCAATAAATACAAACGAAAAACTGAAATAATTGAATTTTACGATTTTAACATGCGATTTAAGATTTAAGATACTAAATCTAATCAAAACTTTGAACGAAAAGTTTAATACATAATTTAATTACTTCCATAACGTTAAAGTTACTATAAGTATTAAAAATATCGATGAATTGTTATCAAGTTAGGCTACACTCTTTACAAACGTTGTTTGCACTTTGTTCAGATTCATACATTTACATTATACAGGCCTAGACGGTTGAATAATGATTGTTATGACTTATATTTTTGTACAGTAGGTATTCTAGAGTATGTATTGATTATTTATAGGTTTGTACTGTTACAATTCCAACGCATATCATTTTATAGCCGTTTCTTAACTCTTAATACCACTTAGACGAATGTTAAAGATATCAGCGTAGATGGTTAAACATTAGCAATAGTATAATCAAACACACATCAACAACAAACTCGAAATATGTAATAAATAAAAAATTAAGTATTCCTATGCTTAATTTTCTAGGATTTAAGCCTGTTCTGCTTAAAACTGATTTATTGAGACTATTAGTTATTGAATTTAGTTTATTCTTAGTATTTATGTTATAATTTAAGTTGCCTAGGTTTAGTTTTCACTAGAATTCTTTTGAAATCATTTAATATTTCAAAGAATCTTGGAATTCTTTTATTATTTGTCTCCCACTGCTTGTTTTGTTTGTGTACACCAGCGCCCCCTATGTGACAGTTTATTTTCCCACAAATTTCGGTTTGCTTTCAAATCTCGTTCGAACCCAGCTCGACGCTGACCCTCGTTTTTTCTCACCTTTTTAACGGCCAAACAAATTACAGTTTTGATTTCGTCGTGAGTTTACACAATGCTTCGCAGCGGTGTGAGACTACGTACGCGCGAGGAGAACTCCGGCTTTTTTTCGGACAATGCCAATTCCGACGACATGAATCTCGTCGCTGTCGGTACGAATGCAACATCACCACCGAACCTGAAAAAGAAGCATCGTAAGAAGAGTAAGAGTGATCAGCCTGAGAAGCAAGTCATCGAGCAGTCTTCAAGCGTTGAAACTGAGGAACCTTCTGTTGGTGTCAAGAAGAAATCAAAGAAGAGTAAGAATAAACATGGCAAGAGTACTGATGTTCCAGATGAGAGGAAAGTCATCAGAGGCAAGAGGAGACTACTGCAAAAACAGGAACATGTTGAAGAAAGCATTTCACCAGCGCAAAAAGCCAGATCACCACCGAAGACAAGATCGTCTATTGGTAAATCATATTCCAGTGAAGATAAAGAGAATGTAGTGATTTTACTTGCACCAAATGAAAACCAGATTGAAACTTCTATGGAGAAATACACTAAGAGTCCAAAGGTGGTTATGCAAAAGGAAAGAGTTGATGCGTTTGATAGGTCACTTGATAGCTCATTTGAAGAATATATCAATGCAGACACTACTACGACAGTGAAAAAATCTCCGAGGAATACAAACAGAGATACTTATGAGATAATAAAAGAGAAATCACCATTGAAAGATATTTCTACGAACAGTCCCAAGAGGGAGCTGCGGTCACAGAGGAGAAGCACGTTTGAAATTCAAAAAGTTGATGAATCATTGAAGTCTAATACAGAAAATACAAAACAGAGTAAAAGTAGCAAGAGAAGCACGTTTGAAGTACCACATGAAGAAGATTTGGAACCCAAAACGAAGAAACGTAACACATTTGAGATAAAAACTACATCACCAGGTACAGAAAACAAACTACAAGTAAAAGAAAATGAAGTTGAAGCGAAGAATGACAGAAGAAGTACTTTTGATATCAATGCAAATGGTATTTTGCCTTTGTCCAAGAAAAAGGGTACTAATGTTAATACACCTACAGTTGTTTTGCCAAGAGATACACGCAACACAAAACGTGGCAGTTTTAAGAAAACATCATCAACTTTAATCGTAGCAAAAAAGAGTCTAACCCCGTCTCCTTCAATGAAAAAACGTGTTTCTGGTAAAAAAGATGCTAAAATCAAGATTTCTGATTCCCTATCTTCACTCACAGGTAATTATAAATCATTTTATTTATTTTTATTGTAAAATATGACTAATTTAATTATTTTTGTTTAGAATCTGGTATTTCTTCACCATCCATGCTTCTACGCCGTGCGAGACAACTAAACCCACCATCAGCAAAACGCTCCACACCTAATCTTAACCTTTCTGTTAAGATTGTGTCACCGAAAAATAAAACACCTCAGCGTTCGACAAGTAAGGTAAAGAAGGTGCCTAACTACTCGGCGATTCATCAAAATGCCTACGACAAGATGGAGTCGCTCGATGTGCATTTACAGCGTAAAGCTGATCGTGCGAAAGCTTTGCTTTCCGGGCAAAAGGTATCGATTCCCGGTAAGCGAACACCTTCTGTGTCTCAGGACGCCAAAACTAGAAAACAATTGTTTTCTATTTCGACTTCTATGACCCGTACACGCTCCTCTGATATCCCTGTGAATCCAAGTTTTAAATTCACTACAAAACCCACGAATTTCCCGGTTACTTTTGGTGTAACTACTACAAAGAAGCAGATAGGTGCAGGTGATGCATCTGATGTTAGGAAAACCATGGATACACCGAAGAAAAAAGCAGTACAAGGTAATAAATCGGTTGGTTTTAATGTAACAACTCCGGTTACGACTCGCCTGCAGTCGAAACATGTGAAGACTCCTCGGCCGACAAAAGAAGAGATTTGGAATGCGTACGGGACGAAGATTCCTGTAGCTAAAACAAATGCGCCTGTAATTACACCGTCAGCAGTTGAATTGCCGAGTAGTAAACTGCCAGTGAAGAGTCTGCGTCTGAAGGAGGTGGCTTCAGTCGCTACCAAGAGTAAACCGTCGACGGTCACCTTGGATTCTCGCCGGAATCATATTAAGGGTGTGCGCTCAAATCGACGCTTTGATTTGTTGATGAGCATGCGGAAATAAGGATATTGATTGAAAGGAAATTTTTCATTTTAAATTCATGTAGGTTTTTTGTGTATTGTTGATTTTATATAAGTGAGGAGTTTTTACATTATTATGACATTGTATGAAAGCATCACATACTTTGTTTTTTGTTGGTCAAAATCATCAAAATTTTAGGTGTAAGAAATTTGTAGGTAGGTGTCATGGAAAGAAGCAGTAATTTCCTTTTTTTTATATACATTTAGGTAGTGTCGATGTGTATGATTTATTGTAAAATTGTTCAGTTAATAAATGAATTTTTAGGAAAATACATAGGTGAGATAAAACGCTGATACATGTAATAAGTAAATAAAATAATTATCGGCGAGATTAAGGCGAGTAGAACTAGGAACAACTCAGTTATATTGCTTAGAGACTGGTTTGTTAGCGCGTTTTTGTTTCTCGATGTAACGACATTTCGATATAATGAGATAAATGTTAGATTATTTTTCATTTTATCTTTTTGTTAGATTGATGGTAAAAATATTATTTTATGATTGTTTAAAGTATACTCTAAGAATAATTGAATAAATCTTAAGATAGAAATTACCATTCTAAATAAAGATAAAATGAGAAATAATCTAGATAGAATGGTAATTTCTATCTTAAGATTTATTCAATTATTCTTCGAGTATACTTTAAACAATCATAAAATAATATTTTTACCATTAATCTAACAAAAAACACATCACAATACCATATTACGCTATATAGAGATTTTGGTTCATTCTGTTTACTTTTTATTTAAAATATTCAAGGGCACGCGGTCAAAAAAACATGACCGTTTTATCCCTTGTCAAAATTAATTAAATTTAAAACCATTTAATACTAATTTAATATAAGATTATTACAAGTTGTTTGTTAACGTCAACAAAAATAACTGAAAACACATTCATATTACATAATTCAAACACAGCTTTAAAGATTTCAACATCTTAAGCTTTAAAATACGTCAAATACTCTTCAAATAATGATATTATATAAAAAGAATTACCAACTTCCCAAATTTTAGATTTTAAACGTAATCTGCACAATGTTTCTCTTAACTTTAATTGCGTTGTTGCCCCTTTGCATTACTGGTAAGTAAACAACTTTACTATTAAAAATCATCACTAAAATATAAATTAATCTTTGTTTTACAGGTAGTAACGTCCAGTTCTATCAATTTATCGCCGACAATCCTGTCCCTCTAAATAATGACTACAGTACTTTACACGCCACAAGCAAAACTTATTTCATCGTTCACGGATGGACAGAAAACGGCTTAAAAGATGAATACATTTTAATGGCTCAAAACTACCAAGCTCTAGATGCAACCGCAAATATAATCCTTGTAGATTACAAAGATCTCGCTGCCCAATCCTATCTCCAAGCAAGACAAATCGTCAACACAGCTGGTACAGAAATGGGGACCCAAATCGTTGCCATGTTGGACGCCAACGCTCTTTTCTTAACCAATATACATTTCTTTGGTCACTCTCTAGGCACACACGTAGCTGGTCAAGCAGCACAAGTAATCAAAAACCGCACTGGAAATAAAGTACCACGTATATCAGCATCTGATCCAGCTGGTCCTCTATTCCGTTCATTAATTATCTTTGGTTTTCTTGACCCGCTTCAAAAAACCGTCACTGATTTCCTAGATGTGACACACACGAGTTATCTCATGGGGACCATTATACCTTTTGGTCATGTGGACACCTATGTGCAGTTAGAAACAATTAATCAACCGGAATGCATGGGGAAGTTTGATATGGATTCCATTTTGTGGTGTAGTCATAGATCTGCTAGGTCATACTTCTCGGAATCTATTTTGTCTTGTGGTTTAAGGCAGAGGAGATTTTTGTTAGGTGTTAATAGTATTTTGAGTTTTGTTATCAGGCTGTTGATTAGTTTTAACTTGAACTTGACTGATTTATTCGTGGATCCTGAATTTGATGTTTATGGGCAGCATATGTCCCTGGATCAGGAAGGTGTTTATTTTATGAGTGTCAATGCGGAATCACCTTTTGGGAAATTTGATGAGAATTGTATTGCGTGAAAATCTAATTTTAAAAATAAATTGTTATCTGTTATTCCTGTCAAAATTAAATAATAGCATATTTTGAGGGTTTTGGAAGTTCAGAAATGAGAGGAATCTAAAGATCAACGCTGATTGCTGCTCACTGGTCTGTGATATCTTCGTGTAACCTGCAAAAAGTGGTGGGGGTAAGCCTCTGCTAAAGGTCGATTTACAGACAAAAATAGCAATATCTGCAAATAATTAAAACAGTTTTATGTTAATTTTTAAAACATTTGCAATTTATATCCAATATTTTGTACGAGTATTGTGGATTGCATATAGTAAGATAATATTAACTCCATCAGCATATCTCACCTGAAACAAACAATTGTTTGTTATCATTCAAAATTATGCTTTGAATTTCTTACATCACATTATTTTCAGCTATCTTGTCTACGATACGGATTATTTCCACTTGCATAACTTGTTTAGCTTGTTTTGCAACTTGTTATCACTTCTCGCGGATATAAATACAACGTCCAATTGCAAAATCCATAGTAGTTTTCCCGCAAATTAAAAAAACAATAAAAAAATGATAGATTCCAAAATATTTTTATTAGTTGTATTAATTACAACTGTATTCTGCGCTGATACAGCTGTAGAAGAACAAGATCCTGTTGAGTTCTACCTTTGGGATGGTTCTTCAGCAAACCTTCTGACTACAGATTACAGCTCAATAAATCCTAATGGTTTAACTTATTTCATTGTCCATGGATGGACAGAAAACGCCACTGAAGTGGAATATATCCAAATAGCAAAGAATTATAAGCAATTACATCCCAAAGCAAATGTTTTCCTCGTTGATTATAGATTTCTCGCTGCTGAATCCTACTTGGAAGCAAGAAGTATTGTAAACAAAGCAGGTACCGCCATGGGTAACAGAATTGTCACTATGATTAAAGGCAATATTATAAAATTAAATAAAATTCATATGTTTGGACATTCTTTGGGAACACACGTCTGTGGTAAAGCTGCAAAGATAATCAAAGAAAACATGAACAATCAACGGGTACCAAGAATATCTGCTTCCGATCCAGCTGGTCCCTTCTTCAGACTTCCATTGGGTTTGGGTATTTTTGATTCCTTGCAAGAGAGTGATGCTGATTTCTTGGATATTACTCATACTAGTTATGATATGGGCACGATTGAAGCTATTGGAACTGTTGATACTTATGTTGAATTATTACACGGGAACCAACCGGCTTGTGATGGGCAGTTTACAGAAGACGCATTGTTGTTTTGTAATCATCGTATGGCCAGAGACTACTTTACAGAATCCATCTTATCATGTGGGTTTTTACAACGTAAAAGATTGTTAAACATTACAGATGCACCGACAATTATTTATGGAGAGCATATTCCGTTGAATGCTTCAGGGATTTACTTTCTGGATGTCAATGCAAAGTCGCCATATGCTCAAAGTAATCCTAAATGTCTGAAACCATCATGTATTAAGAAATATTTCAAATAAATAATTCTTCTAGATTCCAAATATCTCTGTATCAAAATTTGTTACAAACAACATTACAATTTCTAATATTAGTTGGGTTAATATAGGCAACCAATTCTACACATATATAACTTACTAGCTTTAACCCTTGGCTTCACTCGCGAATATCTAAAATATTGAAGTTGCTTCCGTACGCGTCTGTAGTCACAGAAGAAGTAACAATGAAGTAGAATGGCGGGAAGTTTAAAATGGCTGAAAGTATAGTCTATGGAAGTATAGTGTACAGTCTCCATAGTGTAGTCAATTGGATTTGATGTTGACGTAGCTGTCGGTAATACAGTGTGATAATACAGTGTGATGGTACTATAGTACATAGGTTTGAGCTTCATTGCTGGAATGCTAGATGGCGTTAAAGTAGTCAAATAGCCAGATGCAGAGGTATTATTGGCTAAACAATTTCTTTATTTTATTTAAAAAATAATTTTTTTTATTAAATAAAAAGTAGCCTATAACCATTCGGGGACCACTAAGAATATGTGTACAAATTTTCATGATGATCGGTTAAGTAGTTTTTGCGTGAAAGTGTAACAAACATCAGGCCTTTCGCATTTATAATATTAGTAGAGATAGGGATTTATTCAACAGTTTGGATAAGTATTAACATCTTGTGCATAAGGAGGCTTCGCATTCACTTGCATAGTAAAAATTCCACTTGCATTCAATGGCATGTGTTCCCCATAAATAATCCTAACCTCACTTCTGAACAATCCCGTGCGATTCTGATGAAACCCACATGACAAAATGGATTCCGTAAAGTATGCTCTCGCCAATCTATGATCACAAAACAACAACTGGTCGGTCAACCTTTCACCCAAACAAGCAGGCTGTCGTCCTCTTATCAATCCTACATAGGTATCAACAGTTCCAAACGCTTCAAACGTCCCAGCAATATAACTAGTATGAGTAATATCCAACAAATCAGCATCTTCTTTAGTCAACGAATCTGAAAGTGGCCCCAAACCAAAAGGCGCACGAAAAAGAGGACCTGCCGGATCAGACGCTGATATCCTTGCTATCCTGTCACTTAATACATCTTTTATCAAACGTGCTGCTTTACCAGCTACATGAGTACCTAATGAATGACTGAAGACATTGATACGTTTCACATGCAGCAATCCCAAGTTGATTAAAGCGATGATTTTATTTCCTATAATAGCACCTTAAAAGAAACAGTATAAGTTAGGTTACGTTGATATACATTATTTAAGGTTATGATTTACCAGCTCTTCGTACAATAGCAGGAGCTTCAACATAAGGCGCTTGTGCTAATTCACCGTAATCAACTAAAATAATATTCGCAAAGTAGTCTAAAGCATGATAGTTTCGTGCGAGTAATTCATACTCTTCCTGAGTGGAATTTTCATGCCATCCATGCACTAAAATATACGTCATTCCTTCACAATTTAATTTTATTAAACTTTCCGGTACTGTTTCATTGAGTGCTATTCGACCAGACGGCGTCCATTGGTAAAATTCAATATTTTCTCCTATAATACACAAAATTAGGTTATGTTAGGTTATGTGAAGATATTTGAGGTTAAATACGCACGTGTCAAACCAGTTTTGACTAATAATCCATCAAAGAATCGTTGTATCGGCATTAAAACCAAAAAACTTAACAAAACAAGAAAAGTCATTTTATTTTATTTTTTATATTTTTATTATTTATTTATTTATTTACAAATGCAGTGTTTATATATAATAATTACTTTCATTGAATGGAAAGTTTTTCGTTATCGCATAAACCAGTTTACGTGCACGATGATTTTCAAGATCAAAGAGTATTAGATAAAGTCGACGACCTTTTCGCCAGGCGTGTTTTAAATAAATTAACAACAACATATGTAAAAAAATAATGCAAATTGTTTTTTTTTTTTTGGCCGCCATGTTGTGCACGCAAGCGTTCTGGTTATTTAAACATGTTGCATTTTATTGCTTTTCTACTCATAACACAGAACATAAAATACGCTCGTAAATCATACGCGCATGCGCATTTCAACAAGTTAATCAAGTGCTTTCTAACATCTAAACTTCAGGCATTGTAAAATTGATCCAGATGAATCATGCGTATGAAATCTGTGTTTTTATTTTGTTTATCTTGTAGTTGTATTGTTTTAAAACATGTTTTGTGCGTTTAATGTGTCATGGGAAGCCATTTTGAATCAGCTACGCAGCGCGTACGACTTAATTAGCATGCGCACGTCTTTCTGCCATTGAAATTGTAACGCAAGACGAAAAAATGAGAGTTTTAAGTGTGCAAGTCGCGTGCATTGTGCGCGAACGCATTATTGACCATCATCAGTAAAAGACTTTCGTTTTCTAGTAACTCACAAAGCAAATATACTGATTGTTACACATAAATACATAAACAATTTTTTCATTTGAAATAATATATGCTTTTAGGTTAGAAAATAATGTCTGATGGCGTGCCATTGGTTTGTAAATGATTTTTACAAAATGGCCGCTATAGAAATGAGTTCTTTGTTGTTTATTACGATGCGTGACTGTATTTTTTCTTGGTAATCTAGAATTCTGCATTAATTGCCTTGCTTTTACTCTGCGGCTCGCATGAAATTGATTACAGGCATTGAAGACGAGCTGCTCCCTGGCACGATGTGCTAATGTTACGTGCACGGTCACGGCCACCAACATCAACAACAAACACGCCAACGAAAGTAAAAAGAAGACATATTGAAGACACTTGTATTGCATTTTCTCATAGAGTGGGAAATGTGTTGGCGAGGATTTCTATAAAAGCAGCCAGTTCTTCATGGAACACTCATATCAAACTCAATCATCACACAAAGTCAAGTCAAGGACGTATCATGCAAGTGGGAAGTTTATTACTTCTGTTGTTCGTTGTCAGCGCCCTCTTTGTGATTGTCTACTGCCAGGAAGATGATGTTGATCGTCGGGATGTGCATAGAATTATTTTGAAACCGGAAAAGAGCAAAAAACATAAGGTAAGGTTATGTTTTTAATTGGTAGTAGTTAAAAACTAAAGTTATGTTATGTTTTTTTTTGGTTAGAAACGCACAAAAGCACCAAAAACAAAACAATTCCGTCCGCATCAACCAATCAGCAGTCTGGAGGAGAATGTGTATGAGCCTACTGCGCATGCGTCCTCCACACGATACCAAAAACACCGGGAACGACCTTTTTATCCCAATCATCATGACGAATACCATGATCTCATCAAACCAAAGCCACCACGACACGAGGATGCAACACCATATAGCTATCCGGAAGAAGAATCACAGTATCAGGAGACGGCCAGCTCGAATCAACAGAATTACGTGCCTTATCTGCAGAACTCAGGTTACTTTCTGTTTCACTACTATTAGTCCCCCAGTCACGCCCAGGACAAAGACATTATCGCTTTCCCAGCACTGGGTACTTATAGGGTGATTGATCACAAAATGGCCGCCAGTGGTACACAAAGTCGAAAGTAACGAAAGTGAATGTTGATTGTGTTGAAATAATGTATTTGTCCAGGTGGCGAATTAAATGCGAATGCCGAGACTCAAGCGGACGTTTTTGTAGATTGGAACCCGATCCCCTCGACACAACTGACGCACAACGACTACCACCCCGAGGCCGTCGTCACGCCCAGCGCCGCCTCGACGCAAAAACGCAACAAGCGTAAGAAGAAGACGCGCCGAACGACGACAACCACGACCACGCACAGACCAGTTGTGATTTTCATGACGAGCACCCCATACGTGCCGCCATTAACGACCACGACCACAAGTAGACCATTGACATACCGGGATATTGTTTCGTTTCAAGCCGGGTCACCGCCACAAGCGCAACCACAGGTTATGAAACTGAAACCGAAAGCGCCGCTGCACCAACAACACCACTACGTCAATTACAACCATAATAATAAGTCACATATTAGATATGAGGTTAGTGGTAGTAGCAGACCTAAAGGGATAGCGTTACCACCTCCACAAACACCTTCCACTAGGTATACCAATACACAGATTCATACACAACCAGTGGTGGCGCCCTCTGTCCACCAGCCGGTGTATCAAACGATTCATCACAACACAGACAACTCCTATGAGGTGTTCGAACGTGCGAAAGACTACAACAAGCAGATTAAACAAACCAGCTTCAAGAGTACACTGGTCCCACAGCCGGTTTACCCACAATTACAACCATTCCTACCAACGGTAAGTACCTACACGATTGTGGCGAAGTCTACGAAGGCGCCATTACCGTCACAGCTTGATTTCGGAAAGAAACAGGTCCCGCTTGTACCAAATGTGGGATTTGGTAAACTTTATCTCGGAGGGGTCAATTGATTAGAGACATACTCGTAGATAACTACAGTTTAATGCGTTAAGTTTGTACATGGGTGTTGAAAACAATAAACAAAATGGTATTACGATTTATAACCTCAATTATCAACTGTTAATGTATTCCTGGTGGTGATATTTAGTTAGTAGTAAGATGAATGTGGTTTGATCACCGATCGCAACTCCTTGGGTGATTCCGGCGGGGAGTAATCTGGGAAGGGAATTGGTGGGCCTTTTTTACCCTGGGGTTTGGCTGGTTTTGTTACCTTTTTGGCTGGTTTTGCGGGGGGCATTGGCGGCGGTGGTTTTGGTATCACTTTATTGGGTAATGCGTATGGTGATGTTGTTGCTGGTTGACGAGTTTCCGGTTCAACTTCCGGTGTTGCAGCACGTTGAGTACTTGGACCTAACCACAAAGGTACTTGTGGTGGCGCTGGTGGTTGCCTAGGTGTTATTTGTTGCTGTGCAGCTGGTTGCCTAGGTGTTACTTGTGGTCGCGTAGGTGTCTGCGGTGGGGATTGAGCATCATCAAAAATAAACGCGTTGTTATTTCGTGCGAATGACCATCCTACATCATCATTGAATGCTTCGGCAACATTATTATGCCTGGACAAGAAAACAGGTTAGGTTTAGGTTAAGTTTAAAAAGTGAGGTTATACATACCCTGGGTGTTCTTTATAAGCATCAATAGGAATATTATACAAAATCGCCCGGTCTCTCTCTGTGGTAATCTTTGATTTCTTTATGAAGTAAAACGAAGCAAAATAGATGGCGCTGCCAATGTTAACAAGAAGCAACACATAACCTCTTCCAGCCAGAGTAAACATAATTCCAATTACCAATAGCCAGTATGATAAAACTGTATATGTCACGCCCGTTTGTGATGCATAATCGTAGACTGTGCTATAATCAGCCATCAAGAGTGACATTAACGTTAAATCAACGACTGTCACAATAGTCACAATGCCGCTATAACCTAGCGAACATACGTATACGCCCACTTCATTCGAAAACCTTGCGACTACAACAAAAACGAATATAACCTCAATATAACCAAACCTAACATCAAACTTACAATAGAGTAGTACAGCTGATGTAATCGTCCATACAATCGAGATACCAAGATAAAAAGCCGTGAATATCGCTAAATTATCGGAATCAATGTTCACCTTCACGTTTACTTCTTTGTAAAACTCATCGTCTTCACTGAAGTATACCAATTTAAACACGGACGCTATGTACTCATCGTGAGTAACATTTGTAACCTTTAACTCTACAGGAATATCCAAAACATCTTTATATGCTAAAATAGCTAAAAACGCCAGAATAACCCAAACCAATCCTTGAATCTATAATAAATCTTGATTAATTCATTGATTAGCAAAGATTTTTTGATATTTACCAAGCCAGTGGCAGCAAATAAAAGCACCAGTGGCTTCGGTTTTGGCTTCGATTCCATTTCACCAACACTATTCATGCTACACAATGCTAAACGAGTGATTAATGTGAAAATCACTCGCAACTCGAAAGGCAATTGATTTGTCTATTACACGCATCACTCTTATCTCTGATATCAGTTGAAGAACGTTATCGATCCGATCTTTATTATCACACAACATGCGCATCAATACCGATGGCATACACATTTTGTTAAAATACAATATTCTTAAATGTTTCGTAATTAAAACACACTCACTCGCACTTATTCATTCCTTATCAGTTAAAAAATAATTTCGACATGTTAGAATCGCGATACTTGCTCGTTCTCTGGATTGCAAATCGTCAAATCTGTAATGTAATGGAATTTCAAAATTAGTACAAAAGTCAAGATTGATATTAGATAATTAAATTTTTTCGTTGGAAATAAACTTAACCTACTTTTGACAGGTTCCAAAACCACGACGCGTTTGGGTCTCAAGTCCTTCTCCTGCACTTCATTATCTCTAGGATCTCGTGGATTGATATATGACCATGGTAAATGACTAACCAGTTCAGTAATCTGAACACGTTTTTTTGTGCTTTCTGATACACCTTGTGTGGCTTGTGTTGACGTGGATGGTTCATTGTGTATTGATGATGAGGATTTAAACGTCGAGCATAATTCATGTTCGGATGTAGATCCTTCAAACTTTTTGCGTTTGTGATTGTAATCTTCTAATTCTTTGAATGTGCTTGAGTAGTTGAGATCAACGTCGTCTATGAAGCTGCATTTTTGTGTTGCGTGGAAATTCGTGGCTGATGCTACAGTTTCATTGGTTTCTATTTCACCGTAGAATAACTGCCAGTTTTTGATGCGATCTTCGGTTTCCTGACGACGCATTTTTGGATTTCGACGTTTGCGTTCATCAGAATAGCGTTGTTTGTAGGTTAGGCGCGTGAACCATATGATGTACGCCATATTGGCGAGGTTTAACACCCAGATGAATCCTAACCTGCCTGATATAATCGCCATGATTGTACTTTCGTCTAGTTTCCATATAAAAGCGGTTTGGATTATCTATAAATACAATAAAAATTATTTTTGTAAATTTTTGTGTTTTTAGTTGAATTATTACTTCTGAACGTCGTAATTTTAACGCAAAATAAAGCGCACTGAATAAATCCATGGCGACTATAGTGAAAGTGACTAATATCCAAGGAAGGTAAAAAACTAATGCTGATCCTTGTTTCAATCTCATCATAATTCCAACTGAAATTTATAAAAATTAATTTTTTATTAAAAAAATTGAAAAAACAAAAATACCTAATAATGCAACTGATGTAACAATCCAAATCGCATCCGAAGCAAGATACAGATCCATCAAGGACTCAGTCATGGTGCCATCACGTTTATACATGCGAGGAATGCCTAATTTCTGCGTAAAATAAAAATCTTCACTGGAATTCTCGTCCTGGATAAAATTAAGCATCGCGTATGAGTTTAATGACTGATTATCACATTCATCACCATCTAAAACACACAACAAACATAAATCAGTTGTTTTTACTTTTTGTTTTGTTTATTAATTGATGTCGACATGAACTTACTGTAAACATAAGTCATGTACAAATAAAATTCCAACTTGCGTTCCACTTGCACTTCGCATGCGAGTAATAAACGCCCGTAGAAAACCCACCACGCATGCCCAATGGACTGTATCTAAAACAAAACCAAATTATCTTTAATTATATGTGTTTTAATTAAGTTTTAGACTTAAACTTAAACTTACGATTGTCCATGCTGCTATACAAATGGGAAACCAATAATATTTAAATTGTGGATCTAGCCTAATCTTAATCCGTGGCATAATATCTTTTATTATCAATTTATTCCACAGCGTAAATAAAACTATCACTACGAACTAAACAATTACTTAAGTTATGTTAAAAACTATTAACGCGAAACATCACAGTTGCTTTACGCACAAACCGCGTGGTTGGTTCAGGTCAGGACTTTTCTGTTCCGGTTGCTGGTCATGAAATTGTTTACAACTGTCATTCGGGCCGGTACAGCCAACGAGAGGCACGATCAAGTGCGCTGAATTCGATAAATTCTATTCTTTGATAAGATAAAGCGATGTGTGTGCAAAGTCACATGCAGCGGAATTTGTTTTCGGAGCCAGTTTATTAGAACAATATATTTGCGCATGATTATTAATCAGTATCAGTAGGGGAGCAGTCAAGTGACTAGCAGATGATGGAAATTCCTGAATGACGCTTTAATTGTTTAAATATAAATAATTTTGTGTACTTTACTGGGCAAAAAATACAATGTAGTCATTATATGACTAATTTGTTTAGTATAGGCAACTTTTGTTGCTTGGAAAAATTGTATATATGTTCAATTGATGTATTTTTAGTTGCCTATGTATTTATTTTATAACCACATTTTTACTTATTGCAATATACTTACAAATGATTATTATTAATCAGAAGAGAGACTGTCAAGTGTTTAACGGTTGATGGAAATTATTAAATGACGTTTTAATTGATTAATTATTAGTTTAATTCATTTTTAAGGTCATTTTTTTGTCAAAAATACAAAGTAGTCTACGGATTACTCATTTATTTACTGTAGGCAACTTTATGTGCACATACTAAAAGCACCAACGTTAAATTTGTGTTTGTGGTTGTATTTGGTTGCCTACGTATTAATTTTGCAATTTCTTTGTTATATATTACGTATTTTTGATTCTACGTAAGAAAAATTGTTACATTTATGCGAGATCTTTATAATATCTTTGTTAAATGTTTGTTTATGTAATTTGCAACTTGCAATTCCGCAAAATATAGACGCGTTTTTATTTTCATGGCCGCGCAATGATTTCATCTGCTTCCATTTCATTTAAAGCGTAACTAAATCCGTGTCTATAATAAACAAGCATCTTTGGTGATAATTGCAGGTTCATAATTGGCGCTAATTCGCATCAGGCTCCAGACGTTTTTAGTTAACAGAAAGTGGAAGTTATAAAACGAAGCAAGTGTCCTGAGCGTTGTTCGATTTTAGCATTAGTAAAGACAAGTTTAATACAAAATGGCGCAAGATTATGTGCTTTTAATCAGTTTAATTCTTATTTTTCACTTATGTAAGGCGTTACCAGTTGATAATTCAAGTGTGATAGTAAAATCAGAGAATAATAGCAGTGGATCAGAAGAAATATTTTACGATAATCCTGTTGATGTGCATAATATCACATTTGTGCCCAAAGATTTGATTGTAATTAAAACTGTTATATATGAAGTTGGAATTTTAACTAATGCTGACAATGACACGAATGATACTCCAGAAGTGTAAGATATAATTGGATAATTAATAATTTATAAATTTTATGTTTAATATATATTTTTTAAATTGTTTGTAGACTTGATGAAATAAATATTAGGAATTTCCAACCACCAAAGAATGCGCCGGCAATTGATTGGTTGAAAGCTTTTGACAGTAATGTAAGCAAAGATAAGTTTGAAAAAGTGGTACCGGATGACGAAAATAATGGAAATAGTGATGAAGATAATTCGATTGAATTGTTGTAATTGGTGTATATAATTGTTTATTAAAATATTTGTGCAAAAAAGAATAAACATGATTAATTAAACAATAATTATTAATGTTAATTTTGTGTATTAAATTTTTTAAATAAACTTAATTTTAATTTTAAATTATTTCGCGTCATTTCAACACACTGCGCGTTGGTAGAGACACTCGCGGCTGCGCAATGCGACACCGAACCGGTATTCGTACTCGTAAGTCACGACAAAGTCTTCTTGTGATAACGAATCTTGTTTTGTTTTGAAGTGTGTTATTGTAAATCGCTGGCAGTTTCAGTTGGCAATCCAAGAGTGGTGCGTCGTAGTGTTTCTTTTATTACGTTTTATTTACAAGTTAAATTTAATATCGGTTTATTATTTTGGACCTTAGTAAATGTGTTGTTTGCCAATCGGTTTTTCCGTTTTTCTACACCGGGTCATTTCCTATTGGTGCCGTTGAAGAACTCCGTGGATGAGGATTGCGTATTCCGACACATCGACGCATAGCTGTAACCTTGACTGATGCCAGTAGGAAGCCACATTGCGCTGAACACACAACATCGTCAAGTGTCTTTCGCTTTTGTAGAGAAATATAGAATTTGATTCTGCAGGTGAACCTATTGTTGTTTAATTTCAACGTGCACTGTTTTAGTTCCATCACTGATGTAATATTCATAGACGGCCGTGGCAGGACGTGAAAAGCGTGTATAATTCCTCGGATTGTGAGTATTGGAACGTTTTTTGGCTGTGGATTTACTTTCAATTTCTGACTGAGGTAAATTATAGCATAATTTTAATCATTCTCTTTGTGAATATAGTTTATCGAAAAGGCCTGAAATATTTAATAATCTAGTAACTACAACTGAAATTATTGTTTTTCTTTTGCATGTGGGCTGCAAATTGTGTTTTTTATTGGGACTATCTTTGTATTTTCTTGTGGATAGCAAATTTTCCTATCACTCTGTATATAGATTTCTGCCAATTTCAACCAAAAAATGCCTGAAATGCCTGTTTTTTGCATGTGGAAGGCAAACTATTTATGTTTTCTAAACTATTTATTTACTAGAATATGCATAATTAAATTCTCTATCACCCTGTATATAGATTTCCTGAAATTTCATCCAAAAAATGCCCAAAAATGCAAAAATCTGTTCTTTTTGGTAGGAAATTTTTGTTTTTGCATGTGGAAGGCAAACTATTTATGTTTTCTAAACTATTTATTTACTAGAATATGCATAATTAAATTCTCTATCACCCTGTATATAGATTTCCTGAAATTTCATCCAAGAAATGCCTAAAAAATGCAATAATCTGTTTTTTTGTTGTGTAAATTTTCGTTTTTTGCATGTGGAAGGCAAACTATTTATGTTTTCTAAACTATTTATTTACTAAAATATGCATAATTAAATTCTCTATCACCCTGTATATAGATTTCCTGAAATTTCTTGCAAGAAATACCTAAAAATGCAATAATCTGTTTTTTATTGTGAAAATTTTCGTTTTTGCATGTGGAAGGAAACTATTTATGTTTTCTAAATTATTTATTTACTAAAATATACATAACTAAATTTTCTATCACCGTTTTGCATGATGTTATCGTGTGTAGGCGTAAATATGCATCCTTTCAATTTGCGCGTATTTCACACGAGGCGTGCGGATTCAATCACGCTTTTCTTCAAATTTCACTCGGCGGCGGCGGCGCTAAGCCGACATCATTCGTTCACTTCACACTCTGCATCTCAACATTTACGAATGTATTTTAAAACGCGCAAATCACAGAAAATAAAATTCGTGTATTTTGGGAAGCCTGCGAATACCCAAGACATTTTTAAAACTCATGGGAATATAAGTACATAAAAGTCTTCGTAAAGTTAATGTTTGTGACTCATTTATGAGGCTTGAATAAAATACTCGGTTTAATAATTCGAATAATTTACAACTGAGATGTCAAATTCCGGATTTAGTAGATATCTCGAATGTCCAGAATCTTTTCGTAGAATGCGGATCGTGCCGGATGGCAAATTCCTCGCGTTTTTGCTCTTTAGCACTTCGATCACTTTCGTTTCTTCTCTTTATGCTCTGTATATAGATTTCATGAAATTTCGTCCAAGAAATGCCTAAAAATGCAATAATCTCTTTTTTATTGTGAAAATTTTTGTTTTTGCATGTGGAAGGCAAACTATTTATGTTTTCTAAATTATTTATTTACTAAAATATACATAATTAAATTCTCTATCGCCCTGTATATAGATTACATGAAATTTCGTCCAAAAATGCCTAAAAATCCAAAAAATGCCTAAAAATGCAATAATCTGTTTTTTTATTATGAAAATTTTCGTTTTTGCATGTGGAAGGCAAACTATTTATGTTTTCTAAATTATTTACTTACTAAAATATACATAATTAAATTCTCTATCGCCCTGTATATAGATTTCATGAAATTACGTCCAAGAAATGCCTAAAAATGCAATAATCTGTTTTTTATTGTGAAAATTTTTGTTTTTTGCATGAGGAAGGCAAACTATTTATGTTTTCTAAATTATTTATTTACTAAAATCTACATAATTAAATTCTCTATCACCCTGTATATAGATTTCATGAAATTTCGTCCAAGAAATGCCTAAAAATGCAATAATCTGTTTTTTATTGTGAAAATTTTTGTTTTTGCATGTGGAAGGCAAACTATTTATGAAAACACATAAAAATTTAGTTTTAAGCTCGAAGGTGAAGTAAATAACAAACAAAGCTGACAGTAATTAATTTTTGGTTATATAGACATTAGAATAGGTTATATTTACCTTGGATGACGCAGCCGCAGCAGCAAGTAAAGCTTTTCTTTGATTGGCGGACGCATTCAATATCCACAGGATGTATACGAACATAATTAGTGCGGGGGCGAATAAAGCAGCATACTGTGGGGTGCCTCGCACCACTGCCTGATACAATCCCAATAATGACAAGAAAATGGCGGTTCCTACCGCAATATATCTTCCAGTTCTTTGGTTTTCTTCCTAAAACAGCAAAAATAGAAAAATCAAACTGACAAATTGTTCTTTTGGTTGCCTACGTACTCTTAATGAACTTATACTAGTATCCTCACACTCCTTCACAAGATTTTCTTTTGCAGGTCAATTTCCACCATTTTATTAAACTTTTCAAACTATTTATGTTTTCTAAATAAATTATTTATTTACTAAAATATACATAATTAAATTCTCTATCGCCCTGTATATAGATTTCATGAAATTACGTCCAAGAAATGCCTAAAAACGCAATAATCTGTTTTTATTGTGAAAATTTTCGTTTTTGCATGTGCAGCAGTGCATTCTCATTGAACATTATTTTGACCCGAAATCGACGAACAATTGTTTATTTTCTCCGCGCATCCTATTGGAATCTGCTGCGCGCTGTTAAACCAGCAAACGCCGCTGTTTTCTTCGCCATAAACTCGATCGTAACTTATCCTTCGTGACGGCTTTGACGTTT